TCTGAATTCGTATGAAGTGTTTGGCGTGTCTCATGAGTTTTTATTATATCTAGTAGTGTTTATTATGGACGTTGGATATTAAGTGTTCGGATGAATTGTGTTGGGCTCCAATCGTTTGAAATTGTTGACTATGCTCCGTTATGACTAAACTCACTGTGGCGCTGTTGTTAAGATTTGGTATGTTGTGAAAGCATGTTTGGTTTATTGTTTTGCTATTAGAATAATGTTTATGTTGTGGAAGCATGCTGAAATGTATTGGGGAGTTGTGAGATGCATTGAAATCATACTAGTGGTGGTGTTGTTGAGGGGCGTTGTGGTGGTTGGTGGTATTAAGGGGTTAGTACTGGAATCTTGGTTGGAGGCTAGAAACGATATGTGGAGTTTTGCAAATTATGAAGTGAATGGATGAGTGTCAGGGCCTCGGGTATAAATGGTCGGGGGCTGATACGTCACTAATTTGGTATCGAGGCCTCGGGTATAAATGGCGGGGGTCGATGCGAGGAGTCTTTCGAAAGGGAGAAGTATTGGGGCCTTGGGTATAAATGGTCAAGGGCCAATAGATTGTAAGACATCGAGGCCTCTAGTATAAATGGTCAAGGGCCAATCGATTGTAAGACATCGAGACATCAAGGGAGAACTAATTTGTCTATGGATATTATTCTTGGATTGTCTAGATCAAGAAGGGGACATGATAGCATCTTTGTGTTTGTTGATAGGTTTAGGAAAATGTCACATTTCATTGCTTGCCATAAGACTTATGATGCTAAAAACATTGTTGATTTATTCTTTAAGGAAATGGTAAGATTACATGGCATTCCGAGTTCCAATGTTAGTGATAGACATGTCAAGTTTTTAAGTCATTTTTTGAAGGTTTTACAGGGAAAGTTGGGAATTAAGTTGTTGTTTTCTACCACATATCACCCACAAACTGATGGTCAAACAGAGGTTGTTAATAGGACATTAATCATTTTACTTAGGCCAATTCTTGATAAAAATCTTCGAATGTGGGAAGAAATGTTACCTTTTGTTGAGTTTGCTTGCAATAGGGCTGTCCATAACACAACAAAGTGTTCACCTTTGGTTTTAATCCTATGACCCCTCTTGATTTATTGTCTTTGTCACCTACCAAATTTGTTCATCTTGATGCGAATTCAAAAGTTGAGTTTGTCAGGAAGCTTCATACACAAGTAAAAGAAAGAATTGATAAGTATAATGAAAAAGTTGCAAAAAGAGTGAATCAGGGAAGAAAGCCTCTAATTTTAAAACTGGAGATTGGGTTTGGATTTACTTCCAAAAGGGACGTTTTCCAAACCAAAGAAAGTCCAAGTTACATCCATGGGAGTTGAGCCATTTCACGTTTTGGAAAAGATAAATGACAATGCATACAAAATTGATCTTCTTGGTAAATATAATGCGAGTGCTACCTTTGCTGTTGCTCATTTATCCCTCTTTGATGTTGCTCATTTATCACTTTTTGATGTAGGTGATTTGAATTCGACGACGAATCCTTTCGAAGAAGTAGAGAATGATATAGAAATAAGTGATCACGGAGTGCACGTGAAAAGCCTACAAGAGAAGCAAACTCAAGTCAGCTCAAAGGAAGCTTATGCTCAAAGTCAACCCAATCATGAGCTAATCATCATGCCACAAGGTCCAATCACAAGAGCTAGAGCTAAAAAAGTACGAGAAGGATTGAATGGTAATTTCAAAACTAAGGTTCTCACACTTGGTTAAGAGTTGCATCCGTTCAAGTTTGAAAAGACATTTTGTCCTCCAACAAACTTCATGAATCTAAAAATCCATAGTTATCCACATATCTAATTTATTATGTATTTTTTAAATCCATATATTTGCATTTAAAAGGGTTCATGAATGACTTCGAAGGGGTGCTGACTGTATTTGGACTATTTAGGCCAAGGGTTGTGTCTTTTCAATTAATGTACATTTGCTTTTCAAAGACAACATTTGAAGAATGAAATTTTAGATTGAGTTTAGTCTCTCTCAATCTTTAACCTTTCTTTGTATTCTTGTGTTTGAATACATGTTGTTAAACTTTCAATCTAATTTGATCAATCGGGTTGTGCAGAGTTCGAAATTTTGAATATAGGAACAAGTTCTCCTTTATTCATCATCATTGATCATCTTTTTTAAGCACAAATTTGTTTAAGTTTCTTGGGGCTATGGTTTATCATATTGTTAGTGGGGTTATTATTATTGTTGTTGTGGTCGTTCATCTTGAATAAGAGAGTTCTCAAGCATAATTTAGATAGTTAATTACTTTATCATTAATGATATAGGAATGAGTGATCACAGAGTGCATGTGAAAAGCCTAAAAGAAGAGCAAGCTTAAATCAGCTCAAATGAAGCTTATGCTCAAGGTCAACCCAATCATGATCCAATTATTATGCCACAAGGTCAAATGACAAGAGCTAGAGCTAAAAGACTATAAGAATGATTGAATGATCATTTCCGAGCTAAGGTTCTAACACTTGGTGAAGAGTTGCATCCCTTCAAGCTTGAAAAGACATCTTTTCCTTTAAGAAACTTCATGAATCTCAATAGTCCAAATACAACCACCACCCCTTCAAAAAGTAGGAAAGAATTAAGATTACATAACGTTTAAAATGATGAAAAATATACATACATGCACAGCAGAAGCGAGCAAGGATCGAAATAACAATCTAGATGCATATTACAACCTAGGATTAAACATGCATGATCATACATTATGATGCTTTACATACATTATGATGCTTTACATACCTTTGTAGCTTTTCAAATTTCTTCAATTAGCTCCAATGACGACCATCGAGACGTTTTCCTATCTATTCTCAAACCTTGGAATAGAGTGGTGAGACTCTTTTTAAAGGAGAATTTGAGAGAAATATAGAGCTAAAAGGAGTTATGCAAGCTTTTTGAAAAAACATCAAATGGCCAAAGGTTCCAAAATCTTTTAATGTTTGAACAAAAGCCTTATTAAATAGGCAAATTACATGCAAGTTGCATGTCAAAGTTCACCAAAAACTTACAACACATATTCCACTCATGCATGAAATAGCTAAGTGTCAAATTGCATGTCTAAGTTCACAAAAGCTTACAACACACATTTCACTCATGCATGCATGGTTAAGTGTCAAAAAATGGATTTTTTGAGATTATTTAAATGTTCCACTCAACAAGTTAGTGGAATTTTCCACCAATTTGGTTAAAAACATTATTTTAATCTTCTTAGTCAACCTTTGACTTTCTCTGGTTAAAGTCAACTATTTGACTTTTTCTGAAATCCGACTGTTTGATGAAATTCATGCCTTCGATTATGAATCTGCATTCATAATTTTAATATTTAAATCCTATTTAAATATTTTGACCAAATTTCTCAATTGATATCATATATCAATTTCTTAATCATATCTATTATGATTAACCTAATTTGTACGATTCGAATTATTCCTTCAAATTATTCTTATATGAGCTAACTAGGGGACCTTATGGACCTACAGATCATGAGCTCCAACAATCCGAGATTAACCGGTTAAACTCTTTAACCTAGTTAACCAACATTCGTTAACTACTAGGTCACTCCACTAAAGCCCGTAGCTGCACTCTCCTCACTGTAGATATATTACGTCCATTTGATGTAACCATGATCGGTAAGTCAACCCTTCACAGGTTATTCGTAATTACAGCTGGGTCAAAATACCTATTTACCCCTGTAATTACCTATTGTTCCTTAAGTCCCACTGATCCTCTAATGAACAATGATTTGTAGTCCAACTATCAAATAAAAATAAAAAAAAATCCTCTTCAACTTTTGATGAGTGTGGTGCCAATTGTTCAAGACTTGGATTCAGCCCTTAAGATAACAACCTCTCTACTATGTCAAAATTGGGTACAAGTGAATTCCTTCTTGTACCCTATGTCTCTAGCTATCTACTTGGTCTTACCCCTGAAATTGGAGGCTTATTGAGCCAGCGTTGCTGAGCTGCTCTCACCCATGCATATCCAAGGATAATCCCGAGTAAACAGAAGTTCATAGTTAGCTCAGGATTAAGATCGAGTTACCTAGGCAATCAAAGTCAAGATAGTCAGTTTCAGACAGTAAACGGTGTTATAAAGGAAAAGTGACAATCTCATGGTCCGATCTTATGCAAACTCTTTGAACAGGACACCCCCACTCGCATGTCTTCACATAAACGAATTAGGATCACATCGTTTATACTAACAACAAAGTAGGCCGCAGCCATAGTGTCCCCAGAATAAGGCGCCCAACCTTATTCCTATACTATAGATCATTTAGACCATTAACTCAAACTTGATCCATATTTATATCTCTACATAAAGTTTGAGTCTCATGTAATAGTCTAGGATCGTTAGTTTATTGGATTTAGATTTAGTAAGAACATTTTATTGGATCAATAACTACTTATTCATTATAACCTTCAATAACAACTTTATTGAATGATAAAAGTATATCTGACATTTACAAACTATGAGTTTTTGGACATAAAACCCAACATAAAAATTGTCATGAAAGGGTCGAGGTGCATTTTTTTAGTGAAAAGACGGAGATTTATGGATTTTTGTAATTTTAAATGTCACAAAAAGTAAAAAAAAAAAAAAAACACAAGATTCCATGACCTTTAAAAAATATCACAAAAGGGAGAAGGTGCTTTTTGGCAGGAAAAGATGAAGATTTAAAAAATTTTGGGATTCTATGACAATTAAAATAAGCCAAAAATGGCATGGCTTATTTTTTGCGGAAATGTATAGAATATATCTGTTTGTGTTTTTTTGTTAATTTATGAATAAATGTTATGAAAAGGAAATAAAATTTTAGGAATTTTCATTATATTAAAAAAATCGTAAAATGTTCAATGTGTTTTTCGAGTGAAACGACAAATATTTATGTGTCCACATAGATCAGCATTACCCTTATTTATACTATTGATGCATTTAGAAGTGAATTTTTTTTTCGATTGTTTTCTTCTTTAGGTCTTGCACAAACGTAAAGAAGTCAAGAATTATGAAGCAAGATAATTGGTTTATGAACTTATTTGTTTCATCCTCTCAATGGAAACTGTACTATACTATATGTGTAAAAAATATTTTGTATCATAATTTGTTCCTATATTTCTATAAATACTTTAATTTTATTATATACTTTCATAGTTTCGTTATGTTGATCAATAGTAAAATCTTGCTATTATTCTTCTTTCATGACGTTTATTAACTAGGGTGAAAAACTTTTTAAGATATTTTTTAAATGTCATTAAATCCATTTTTCGTGACTTTTTTAAATGTCATTAAATTCTCTTTCCATGACGTTTTTTAAACGTCATGAAATCCTTTTCCATGACGTTTTTTAAACGTCATGAAATCCTTTTCCATGACATTTTTAACCGTCATGAAATCATTTTTCCGTGGGATTTTTTAACCGTCATAAAATTCGGTAAACGTCACAAAAACCTTTCGTGATGAGCGACTATATAATGTTGAACAAAATGTCACGAAATAGTTTCCTGACATTTTTTAAACGTCACTAAAACCCAAATTTTTAATAGTGGTTATTCTTACCGTGAAGAAATAAAAATAATAAAAAATAAAAAATAGTTAAACAAAATCTCCATGAGAGCATATTTGTCAAGATGAGTATTTCATCATTCTACATATTTTTCAACAAGAATTTTTTTTCAACAAATGTTAGTCAAGGTCGACCTTGTCAAGGTAGCTTGACTGGGCGAGCTGGAACATTGCATAAGGGAACAAACACTCTGACACTCAAGTCAGTTTAAGAGTTCGACCTTAGTATTGAGATTGAGCTAGAATGTCATACCTGACTGCAGAGTGAGACCCCCTATTTATAGGTTTTGGAACCTGATAAAGAATCCGACCGGTAGTTGGGCGTGTTGGGCCAAAGGTCGGCCTTTCAAGTGCGCACGACCTCGATAAATAGACTTTGAGTATCTTCCTTTCCATAATTTGGCTAAGTGTTGCACGTCTTTCCTATGGGGACTGAGCATCGAGAGTAGACATGACAGTTTGCTCATTCTCTATCCTTCACGTGACAGTGTCATTTGACGCCTCAAATAAAATCTTAATAAATAAATAAATAAAAACTCTACTTTGAGAGTGTTTGAGGACCTACAAATTGAAAAATGTTTTGTTAGTTTGTGAGGATGTGGGAAATTGAAAATTAATGGAGTGAGCGTAATGGTCCCAAAGTTCAGAGGTTAATTATGCAATGTTTATTTAAATATGTGACAAAAAATAAGATTTATATGATTTATAAATTTATCTCACATTTAAAAACCTTTTACGATAAGAAATTTGCTTTTAGTAATTTTTAACAAAATAATAATCTTAAAAAAGCAAGAGTTGCTTTGGCCGAGTGGTTAAGGCGTGTGCCTGCTGAAACATGGGGTTTCCCTGCCAGAGTTTGAGTCTCTCAAGGGACGTATTTAAACATATTTTTTCAAACAATATTAATAATGTCAAAGAAAAACTTATTTTACTTTTTTCAACTCACCTCGTTCGAAAATATTTCTTTTTTGGCTTTTAGCTTCGAATTTGCTTCTTGTACAAATTATATTGTTTATTCTAAATTTAAGAAACATTGCTTAATTAAAAACGACAATGTTTAAACTGTAAGAGTCACTTTGCTTGAGTGGTTAAGGTGTGTGCCTACCAAGTGCATGATATTTTCTTGCAAGGGTTCAAATCTCTCTGACTGTCATGTTTAAACTTCATTTTTCAAATAAGAATAATGTCAAACAAAAATTATTTTTAATTTTGTTAACTCAACTTGTTTCAAAATATTTCTTAAAATACTTGTGCTACAAATTATATTGTTTAATATATATATTTAACAAACATTGCTTAATTAATTAACCCGTGGAATTTTGGGATCGTTATTTTCATACTCATGAAATTTAAATTTGAATGGTCCTCATGAACTAACAAAAATTTGATGCTGGAATAATCTGTTTAAAAAAATTTAGTGGTTATAATGTGAGTTATTTAATTATGAAGAAAAAGAAATATTAAAATATTTTTAAATCAATTTTTGTAAGTTTACAGGAATCACTGACCCATTTTAAAATTCACGGAGGTGTGAGTAAGTTCTCATAAGTTTGATGATAACTATGCAATTATTTAAATATATAATCCTTCACCAAATGAGATTTATAAAACTCATGTCTAAATTATTAACGAGTGGTTAAGGTGTGTGTTTGTTAAGTACATGGGTTTCCCCGCGAGAGTTCAAATCTCTCATGGAAGGTTTTTAAACTTATTTTTTCAAAAAACAATAATAATAATGTCTTTTTGGGTTGGAAAATCGCTATACCACGTGGAGGATAGGAACATGCCCACGTAGGCGAAGTTTGAGTCACGTCCACCTCGAACCTTCTGAGGTTGAAGACTTAGTCAATTGTTTGCTATATTCTTCTCATGAACAACTTGATCTTCTTCGAGGGCCCACATGCTGAGTTTGATATGTCCGATCTACCTTCCGATACTAGTAACCATCGGTTAGAAGGTCTGTCGGATCCTTAACCTATTAATAGAGGGCTCCATTTCTATATCAGGTATCAACTTTCTCCTCGAACTTACTATTGGGTCCAAGCTGTTTTATTGACTTGAGCGTCGAAGAGTTTGCCCTCTTGTGCAGGTCACCCCCGTGTGCTCCGAGTCAGCAGGCTTTCGTGTTCGACCTTGACTAGATCTTACTTTGATTCTTTTTATGCATAAACATTTAGCGCTCTCTGTGTGAAGGAGCATTTTTAAGTCATTCCTATGGCTAAAAATCAAAGATGGTACAACCACCTGCCTCTGTTGATTCATCGAGCTACCCAAGTGCCGAGTTAACAATAGCGGTCCAAATCCCTAACTTGAGGCAAATGCCAAAAACGTTGAGGATAAGGTCTAGGGGGA